GCTGGACCAAACGAGTGTGATGCGCAGTGGTGTTGGTTTCGACCATGTCAGCCAATTTGGTTACATGGGAGCTGGAGGTCGGGGCGGTAAGTGTGGTAAGTTGCTTATTTAGCTCCGTGAGTTGAGAGGTAAGAGAGGATGTGGTAGTTGCGAGTGTCTGCGTCAGTGCGAGTATTTTCTGTTGTCGCCCATCTGAGACGCGCTGTTGCTCGCGCTGGTTGCGCTCCAACATAGCCAGTCGCAGATCGAAGGAGCGGCTCTCGTTACTTAAAGATGGTGAAGGTGTGTTTGATGAAGAAGTGTACATGGGAGGTCTTCCCTTAATCTTAGCAGCGTATGAGCCCGGGGGGGATGTTGCGGGAGGTGATAGGAACTCATGCGCTGAAGAGGAGAGCGGCGAAGGGTGAGTGGCTCGGCGCATAGCTGTGCGACGGAGAAAAGCTGCTTTGGCGCAGTCGCGTTGCTTAGCTAGAAGGTAGGGGCAGGTGGAGTCGAGAGATTAGTGGGTGTTGAGTTGGCAATGGAAGCACCAGGGTTGGGCGCAAACGTGAGCATCGGGATCTGCTGGTAGAGTAGACGCACAGTGGCGGCACTTGGCCGGACCGCTGTGTTTGGGGCATTGATGAGCACGGTGCCCTATAGCAAGGCACCGAGTGCAAGTAGGGGGCTTTGGTTTATGTGGACGGCATCGGAAAGAGACGCGTTTGAAGTACACAAAGCGAGGGATGATGGTTCCAGCAAATGTTATGAGGACGGATTCAGTGGAGCCCATCATACGTGCAGCGAGTATATCTGAAGTAAAGGATTCGAGGTCATGCAAGAGCTGAGATGTTGTGAAGTGACCACCGACGTTGTGTATGACACCGAGACATGACATTGGAGGACTGGGGGCATAGGGCTTAATGGTGATCGGCTTACCATTAAGTTCCAGACTTGTGAGGGAGAGTAGGAGGTGGGCAGTGAGAGGTGAGTGCGCTTTCAGAAACACAAGGCTCTGAGCAGGTTTGGCTTGAAGGTTGACCTCCGCACTGGTCTTAGGAGAGAGATTTGCGGCGGCTATGATGGTAGAAAGCAGGTCATAGAGAGGCAGTTTCGGCGTGAGTGTTCCAGGTGGAAGTTGGATTCTGACGGTGATGAGCTCGGAGCGGGGGCGGGCGGTCGAGGCAGGTTTTCGATTGGCACTAACGGTGTTCCAGCTGCTTTCATGGGATGGCGTATTGTCTTCGTTGACCTGCGATGCCGTGAAGTTCATTTCCGTCGATAAGTCGTCAGCTGAGGTGATGGAAAGCAAAACTTTGGCGATGGAAGGAACGACGCTCGTCGAAACGCGCTTGTCGACAGACTCAGAATTTCCAATGGGTAGGCCACACGCAGATAAGGTGGGGAGAGCAGCAGGCGTGGTTGATTGCAACGTCAACGCTGCATTACGGCTCTCGGGCTCCGGCGTTTGCGTGGCTATCAAGCTGAGAGTAGCAGAGACGCCACCAGCGTTGCACGTTGCTGGACCGTGCGCGCTGTTGAGGAACGCTGCCTGTTGCTGTATTGTTGTCGGCGCGGGGCTGGTGACTTTGCAGGATGTTGACAGCGGAGGCACGGCTGTATCAGCGGTACGACCGGAGGAGGCTGGGCTTACCGACAGGGCGTCAGTTGTCGTTGGTGTCGAGTGCTGGGCGGGACTCTGCATCGTGGAGGTGCAGGCGCGGCGCGTTAGGGTTAGCGCGGCACCGCGCCGCTTCGTACTTTTGAAGGGGCCTGGGGGGCCAGCCTGGGGTCGGACTGGGGCCCGGATGGTATCGGCGTGTCCCGGAAGTCTTCTGGAAGGAATAGTGAGCTTGTCCAGACACGGGCGGGGCCCGGTAACGGGCCAAGAACACGTGAAAGCGGAGCACTGTATGCGGCCAGCCAAACAAAACGGCGCGACCTGGCGGTCCCTATCAGAAAACTAACGCAATCGTTCCGGTGAAAGGCCAAGGTACATGATTCTCCTTACCAAAAAATAAGCGCGCGCGCACAAGTGCCTACCCCCCCCCCTTACTCCCATCTGGGGGCAAAGTACGCGTTGGGAGATAAGCGCGCGTTGGCGCATTGCGACGAGCTGGGTGCCGAGCGCGGGCGGCTTTTTTTCTTTCTTAAGTTTTCACATATATAGATACGTATACACATACGGTTCATGACGGCGGCGGCGACTGTTCATATAATTGCTATCGCAATAATACTGAGATTGTATTCCAAAAGAAGGCAAGCGTGACAGGAGAACCTGATTGTTAAGTGGACATATACAACTGGGAAGTTTATGGGCATAACGTAGCCATAGCAAGGGTAGGTTCCGGGTTGATTGAGAAACGTGGGAAACGCCTTCCTCTTGCGGTGGGCCCAGTCAGGCTAATGATGGTGACGAAAACTATGAAAAGCGGCTCAATCACGTATATAACTCCTTTGACTATCTTAACGTGAATCGGTAAGCGTAACGAACCATACTCTCTTGGTGTGCTACGAATAGGCTGCACCTAGAGTAATAGTAAACAGAACACAGAACATGCCACGAGAGGAGCAAGTTTCGCCGAGTGTAGTTTTCTCAGACCGTGTGCCTTAGAAATGAGAGCTTGTACATTTTCAGAGCTTGTACAATTTTTATGGGTATGCTACAGCTACAGCATCATTTCGCATGGATGCGCCTACGTTGACGTCTAGAGGCGCATCTACATCGCGACGATTAACGCTCATGATCATGTTTTAAGCGCTGTGGCAGCTGAAGATGTTAATAATATGCCTGGACACAGCATATACCTTGAATCCAGCGCAAATATAAACAACAAGCATATAATAAACACTAGTACTCGAATAAATTTGATCGCAAACGGACAACACACAAGAAGACAGGACGACTATGACCACTCACTTCCAACTGGTTTTATTCGGAATAAAACCAGTTGGCAGTGAGCGCTCATATATCGTCCTCTCTTCTTGTGTGTTGTCCGTTTGCGCTTAAATCGATTCCAGTGTGAACCAGCGCGCCCAACAAAGCACCTTATTGAACTGGTACTCGATATGCACTTCTTCAAAGCACCGTTAATTAAGTAGAGGCACGGCATGTTGTGCACGTCAAAGCCGAGTAATTAGGTAAACACAGCCTCTGCTCTACGCTACCGCACTGAGCTTCCGCAACACCATGGAGGCCGAGAAACACGGGAGGCAGAGCAACAAGGGAAGCATATCAACGCTGTGGCCAGCGTTGCTCGCTGACACCGAGACACCCTACCTGCATCGTCCCCAAATAGCCCCCCACGGAACTCATTACATAGTTTCATGAGTATTTCACTCTTCTGCTCATAGACGGGGGCACCACTCCGCTCCGTCAAGAGACGGAGACAGGTGCACCAGGGCTTTGGGTAGCCCGAAAGCCCGAGTCCAATCAAGCCGGTAAATCGGGCTCGGGTAGGCTAACGTATTCTCACCTCGGGCCCGGACTGGTCAGGGCTGCTTTGTTCGTTATCGTAAGGGCCTAACTAAGTACAAAGCCCGAATCTACCCTTGGATGTAAGCATTGCACCAGAATTGTTTTCCAGAATGCAGCGATAGCATACAAGATGGGTGTTGGGATTATCCATGGCAAAGACTGGCAACCTGCGGCCAGCGGGTCACATTTCAGTTTCAAACACTATATATGAGAACATCCCGCCCCCTTAACTTGTCACTATATACGTATGTGAAGGCTGACACGGCAGCTTTGACCTCGAATGGTGCTTTCTTTTGCAACATATATTAGTAAAATTGCACACTTGTCCCTGCGTCCACAAAATAAGCATGATTTTCATTTCAATTTTGTAGATTCTCAATGCCCTGAATTTTCGCCTCTTGTCTGCAAGACTCCCCCTCCCCCCGATTTGCCGTTCTGCCCTCAATGTGTCGGCTTAATGCAAATTTGGCCCTCCGCTTCAAAAGGCAGTTACCTACCATTGACCCATAGAACCAGGCTCCTGTCCTGCATCTGAGGTTCTAAACTCCTGATGGAACAAGAAGATCTTAATATTCCAAGCTATAGCTATACGTTAACAAAAAGATGTTGGCAGTTGCGACTACCAGTGCGCCTGTGTGAGCAGTGAACGGAACTTCAGTTTGACGGGACATGTGATGCGGGAACGCTGCATTTCACTGAATCCCGGACCATTATAGACAGCTTGTCATTGGTACACGACAACTTCTAATATGTGACTGTCACGTGTCCCTTGCTTGCCTCACTTTTATAGATTTAATACGATGCCACATTATTGAAATCGATGACCTTTCTCCACAACAAACCTTCATATTATCGGACCAGACTATGTGCTGGGCTCGGGCTGTTCGCACGTCGGACCGGGCGGGCCCGCAGCTCTAGTCTCGGGCTCTGGCAGGTCTTCAAAGCAGATAGCAGGGATCGGGCCGGGCTCACGATCGGAAATTCAGCCCATGCGGGAGAGAACGTATGAGAGATATAAAACGCATCTTGTGGAACTTCGCGCTTATACTTCAGTGGCGTAGTTGATAGAGCGCCGTGCGCCTATCATCGCTGACCGAGAGATGCGGGTTCGATTCCCAGCAGCGGAATTTTTTTTCTAGTTTTCGTTCTTTCTGATTCGTTAGTGTCATTTTACCAACGCCATAGCCATAACGAAAATATATAACTCTTTCGCGTTGAAATAATCATTTAAGAGCATAAATGTCCGCAGTATAATGCAAATAGTGTCACTTTCGCAATATACATTTGATCATATGTACCGCAAAAAAAAAACTGCGCATAGATGAGTTCTGCGTGTGCATCGGTCGTGCAGCGCAAGTTTGCCGGTTAAGGCGTATACGTGCTAAAAAAAAAGCTCATTCCACTCGAATATTCCCCTCTCGCTACTACTCTGCTACTTTAGGAGCGTGCAACAGGACTTCGCAAGTAAATTACTCTTGCCGTGGGTGTTCATTTGAGCCGTGATATTCTGTTTCGTCGTGCGGCCGTCGAATTGTTCACGCAGCACGCGCACGACGGCTCTGCCCGGCACGGCCCCGCCCACATACGGCCCGACGACACCAAGAGGCTCATCACGATCACCACGCTGGCACTGGCCGTGGTGTGCGCCTTCACGATCCTGTCGCTTCTGCTGCCGTCGACCAGGCCGCAGGGAGACGTGTCCCGCTGGTGCGACACCAGCGACTGTCGCCAGTACGCGACGCTGCTCGCGCGCGAGCTTAACCGCAGCGTCGACCCGTGCCAAGACTTCGACGCGTACGTCTGCTCCTCGTGGAAGCCCGACGACCGGTTTCCCCGGATGTCCCAGACATCGCTGGATGACCTCAGCATCGCCTGGCTGGACGGCTTGCCCGAGCTGCTCGAAGAAGGAGCCAAGGTGACGTCGCTGGCCGCTAAACCGCTGGCCATGTACTCCTCGTGCGTGGAGAACAGTGGCGCCAGCAAGGCGGACAAGGGTTTGTTTCTCGAGTTTCTCAGGGCTCGCAAACTGGCCTGGCCCGACAAACCACGTGGCGGCGTCCGTGCGCCTGCTGTGTTAGTCGACTTAGCCATGAATTGGGAGATGACGTTGTGGATGCGCGTCCGCGTGTTGAAGCATCCGTTCACGCCCGGTGCACGGCGGTTCCTTCTACTACCTGGTCGGAGGAGCGACGTGCGGCTGTTCGCAGCGTTGCACGAGTACGTCATGTCTACAGGCGACTACGCAAGGTACTTATATCTTCATTTTACTTGTATCATAACGTTGTGCGTGCGACGTCATAGGCTGGCGAACTCATTCTTGAGTCGACTCAATCGGACACACTCAGATCAAACCAATGTTTTTAGTATCTAAAAACGTTGGATCAAACCATGAGCCTGAGTCTGAGAGGCTCTGGATGAGTAATATTTTGGCGTGTCCGAGTGAGTTCGGCTGAAGAAAAGTTTTGCGAGTCTAATTCTGAGTGAGCCCAAAGAGCAAGATGCAATTCTTAAGTGAGTCCGAGTGAGTTCCGCATTTTTTATCGACCTATTGTCGCGCCTACTCATCTTCAGCATTATTATAAGCCATACGTGAATTCACATTTCTACTCATACCTATTCTCACGCATTAAAGAGCAACATCGTTCATACACCATTTCGACATTTACTCGTCAGATGCGTGAATTACGTTAAAGGGGTTCCTTGACATCCCCCCCGCCAACTCTTCTAGGGAAGTTCTTGATAAACATATGAGGTGTTGTCATCTCGGTCAAAAAAATGCCTTCATACTTGTATGCGACCACTCGTAACTCGTATTCCAAGCAACTATATCAAAAGGCACCCAGAAGAGAATCGATTACGTTAAATATCTGTGTTCCACTGCAGGGTCCCGCTGCAGTCTTCGACTATGGGAGCCTGTATATTTTTCTATAACAACATTTTATTGCGTAATAATAATAAATGACTGACCGACTAAAGCGTATTGACACCACAGTCAAGCAAGCTAATTATAGGCTAATGGACTCGTGAGTCGACCCTGGAACTCGAACTCAGATTGAGCTCTGAATCTGACTCCATCGAGTAAGACTTTGGTGAATTTGAGTCCGAGTGGGTCGGGCTCAGGCAAATTTTGGTGAGTCTGAACATGATTGAGTCCAAAGTGTAAAATATATTTCATGAGTGAGTCTGCATGAGTTCCACGATTTCTTCCGACCTATGGCGTGCATACAGAAACCCATGGAAATATGTAAGCTCGATAAGATAGAAAATTCCTAAATGCGGGGAGCCACTGGAGCAGCGTTTTGGCAAGCGCGCTTGTCTACATCAAGACTGCAACATTACGTGGCGGTCTTGAAAAAAAAAGCGAAATATGGGTGATTCCACGTAAGATCGAACAAAGCATGCCCAGTCGACCCCTTAAATTTTTCTCACACTTTTATATATTGCGGCCTTTTGATTTTGGCGTTGAATTACACAAAATATAAAAATCTACCTACCTCAATCTCGTTTAGGTAAATATAGGCGTATTAGTGCTAATGTTCAATTACTTTTCGCTCATCTGGATAGCGCAGATATCTTTTTTAATCTCAAAATTCACCCAGAAAACGTCCTTTGCCTACATTACAGGCCTTTCAAAAAGGGCCGATGACAGAACGGTGAAAATTCCGCATTACTTTTTCGGCATGCTTACTTATGGAACTGCCAAAGGTTATAATGATAACAGTTTCCAATAAAAAGACACGACCACGCAAACTTCAAGAAACCAGCATGCAAAGGAAACTTATGGCAACAATTAAAAAACACTTTTGATATTTCTTAAACTTTCTCCACTTATTTTCTTGCGCATCAGCTTTCACAATCAATAAAAAATGTTTCATAATGTGGTTTCACTTGCAGTTACGACCCGTCAAAGTGTGCGACCGATGGCGGCGCGCTGCAAACCATGTACACGCTTGCTACAGTACAGTGTCTAAAAATATACTGCCTAGTGTGCTGAGCGCCGGCTAGAAGATGGCCCCGCAGCTGATCACTGCCGGCAGCGTCCGCATGGCGCGCTGCTGTGCGAGTGTGTGCATTTGCGTTCCATCGTTGATTGATATGTGGGGTTTAACGTCCCAAAACCACCATATGATTATGAGAGACGCCGTAGTGGAGGGCTCCGGAAATTTAGACCACCTGGGGTTCTTTACCGTGCACCCAAATCTGAGCACACGGGCCTACAACACTTCCTCCTCCATCGCAAATGCAGCCGCCGCAGCCGGGATTCGATCCCGCGACCTGCCGGTCAGCAGCCGAGTACCTAAGCCACTAGACCACCGCGGCGGGGCTTGCGTTCAATCGTTGCGCTCCGCAAGCGCTGTGAAGCCTGCAGGAGGACGAGCTGCGCGAGGCCAACTATTATTTTCCTGCATTTTCGGATTGTTTTTTTTTTTGCATAATTCTTTATTGTATAAGAACTACCCGATTGTTTACACAGTACTAGCGCTTCGCAATACCAAATGAAGATCATTTCGTGGCATACATTTCGCCATCCGCTACTGCCCGCAAAAAAAAAAGACGCAGATCCCACGTAATTTGGGAATCAATGCTAAGCAAGGTGATTCTGTAGTAATTTTTTATTAAGTGAAACATTATGAAGTGGCGCTAAATATATGCAAGAAATTGGATAGTCAACACAGGAGCCAGCATTGGCGTTTCACGAACATTCGGCTCTTCTTGCAAAGTATTTCGAAGACCCTAAGTAGACGTAGGCGATTAGATAGATAGATAGATAGATAGATAGATAGATAGATAGATAGATAGATAGATAGATAGATAGATAGATAGATAGATAGATAGATAGATAGATAGATAGATAGATAGATAGATAGATAGATAGATAGATAGATAGATAGATAGATAGATAGATAGATAGATAGATAGATAGATAGATAGATAGATAGATAGATAGATAGATAGATAGATAGATAGATAGATAGATAGATAGATAGATAGATAGATAGATAGATAGATAGATAGATAGATAGATAGATAGATAGATAGATAGATAGATAGATAGATAGATAGATAGATAGATAGATAGATAGATAGATAGATAGATAGATAGATAGATAGATAGATAGATAGATAGATAGATAGATAGATAGATAGATAGATAGATAGATAGATAGATAGATAGATAGATAGATAGATAGATAGATAGATAGATAGATAGATAGATAGATAGATAGATAGATAGATAGATAGATAGATAGATAGATAGATAGATAGATAGATAGATAGATAGATAGATAGATAGATAGATAGATAGATAGATAGATGCTCAAAGTGGTAAAGTGGTTACTTGAACTGGTATAGCGCATTAAGGGGAAGAAGAAACGGCCGAGCAGACCGAAACGGCCGAGCAGAGAAAAGTGGTTACAGCGCACAAAGCAATAAATTTTAAAAACCATTGACAGTATAACCACCAGAGTTATTTTTTATTGTGCTTTGTTCTTGAGAGCGAGAATTATCACAGGAGGTTTTTAAACCTTTACCTTTTAGCCTGCATTCCATTAGGATTCGAGTGAAAACAAAGAATGATCACATGCTAATTAATAATCTGACACTCGCCGCATATGATACTCAAAAAGTTGTTGGAAAGGGAGTCCGACGTTGACATGGGAGAAAAACTGTGTGAATGAAATTCGAAAGGGTATTTTCAATTTTTTAGATAAATATTAATATTTGAAATTTTGCCTCAACGGCGATTTCATTCCCGACACCGTTCACCCTAATCCGAAAAGATAGCTTGGTGGAGTCACTTTAAGAATGCTTTTCTCACACGACAGCCTTCGGATTCTGCCCTCTTGATCCTACTTTCTCATTCAGGAAACCGTGCTGGATCTGTTAGTACGGGGAACAAGACAACTTGTTCTTGTTCGACCGATAACTTCTTTGACACAGCGGCACAATACACGTCCTTTATTTTCATTGCCGCTTATCTTTTAACACCTCAGAGTGTTGCAGTGCACATTAGGCGCCGTCGAACTTCACAGTAAATCAGATGGCAGCTGTCACACTGATTTTAAACGTGGCGAGGCTCCGGCAGCAACAGGACAAAAGGAATTTCGCGCGTTCGTGCACCCTCTCGGCACACAGCACCGCTTGTGGCATCTGAGAGCAGTCATCACATGCGAGGCCACTCTCTCTCGTACAGAATGCGGGCGCTCAGCACACTAGGCAGTATATTTGAATATTTCTAGGCACTGTAACTACAGTGTCTAGACCCACTCTCTTGTGCCACTCTCTTGTTCCCCGTACTAACAGATCCAGCACGGTTTCCTGAATGAGAAAGTAGGATCAAGAGGGCAGAATCCGAAGGCTGTCGTGTGAGAAAAGCATTCTTAGAGTGACTCCACCAAGCTATCTTTTCGGATTAGGGTGAAAGGTGTCGGAAACGAAATCGCCATATAGGCATAATTTCAAATATCAGTACGTATTTATCCTAAAAATTGAAAATGCCCTTTCAAATTTCTTTCACAGACTTTTCCCCCCCATTCCCCCATTTCAACGTCAGACACCCTTTCCAACAACGTATTAGTATATGCTGCGAGTGTCAGATTCTTCATTAGCATGTTATCATTCTTTGTTTTCATTCGAATCCTAAGGGAATGCAGGCTAAGAGGTAAAGGTTTTTTGGGTATTCTGTGATAATTCCTGCTTTCAAGAACGAAGCACATTTAAAAAATGACTCTGGTGGTTTTACTGTCAATGATTTTTAAAATTAATTTCTTTGCGTACTGCAACCACTTTGAGCACCTATCTATCTATCTATCTATCTATCTATCTATCTATCTATCTGTCTGTTTGTCTGTCCGTCTGTCCATCCGTCCGTCTATCTGTCTGTCCGTCTATCTGTCCGTCTGTCTATCCGTTCGTCCGTCCTCTGTCTGTCCATCCATCCATCTGTCCTTCCGTCCGTCTGTCGGTCCATCTGTTTGTCTGTCCGTCCGTCGGTCAGTCCGTCTGTCTGTCCATCCGTCTGTCTCTCTGTCCGTCCGTCTATCTATCTATCTATATCTATCTATCTATCTATCTATCTATCAAATCGCCTACGTCTGGGTGCCCTCACGATCACGCCCTTAACTTAGGGCAAACCAAAATTAGTGCGGGTGGGTAAGATGGTTTGATGAATATGACTCGGTGGTCCTGACATGAATAATTTCACAATCCCGTCACGTACGCCATCAAACCTTTCTCGCCCCATC